GTAGTTTAATTGCAGCCTGCTGTTGACTGAAGCATTTCTTAGTTCTTAGAAAGCAAGGGAGGCCAGAAGACTCACTTATTACTAGAAATTGACTGAAGAGGCATTAGACAAATAGGACAAAAATGTGTATTCATCCATAGATGGTGGTTTCACTGAGTATCTGAACTGCAGTGCTTTTGAGAATAAAAAGTCGTTATGAATCATTACAGTGGGACGGAGGTGTAAAGTGGAGTTGTTCTGGGGAAACCAGGACATGTGGTTACCCTGTTTGCATACAGATATAAATTAGTTCGTGGCAGACCATTTTAGCCTGTACATTGTCTTTTAACTAGCCAGATATTTCAGAATGTCAACCTTTGAGGCCTTGTGCGTGTAGGAAACTGGAACAGTACTTCACTGTTTGTGAGTGTTTTTGTTAAGTATTATGTTACTCTCTCTTTTAATTTTAGAGATAGTGTTGTCCTCCATTCCCGTTTATTTTACTGTTTTTCCTTCTCTCTCTTTTTTTTGGTTCCCTTTACCATTTCAGTGATGGCAACGTTGCAGCTACCAGCCACTAATTTGGCTAACTTGGCGAATTTGCCTCCTGGCACCAAACTCTACCTCACCACAAACAGCAAGAACCCTTCAGGAAAAGGAAAACTGCTGCTGATCCCGCAAGGAGCCGTCCTGCGAGCCACGAGCAGTGCTAGTTAGTCCTGTCTCCCACTGGTGCCCGGGTCTCGGGGTGTGTTCTCCCCGCCAGGGGCGGTTCTTGACCTGCTTCGGGAAGCATTCCGTGGCTCGGTCAGTGGTGTAGTGACAGCATTTGCCGACAGTGGGTTTAAAATATACACGGGGTTTAACCAGAAGTGGATTTAAGGAATCAGTCTTAGAGGTGACATGTCATTTTGGGTTCCCCTCTTCAGAGTTTGGGGTCAGGGACCAGTCACACTGGGGAGGGTGGTGTGGAGTCTGTGCTGGGAGAAAGCTGCAAGAACTGACAACGGGGAGTTCTTCCTTTCAGTGGGGAGGATGTCTGAAAACTGCCTGGCGACGCCCAGGAAGGTCCATCTGCTTCCAGTAGCCGGAAGTCTGTGTGCATTTTAACAGGGATGGGAATAAGACTGGCATCAGATGTCTGTGCTTGGCATTATTTAGGTGTACTTTGCTTGCTGGGATTGGAGATGGAA